AATCACACATGTACTTATGGTAATGATGTCCATCTCATTCCCCCATCTTTCCTACCCCCATGCTTCCTTCCCCATCTCATTTGCCCAATATAAAGTTCCTCCATTCATACCAATGCCCCTCAGCCCCCAAATTTTAGATTAGTATCCATTTTTCAGAGAAAACACTTGGCATTTGGTTTTTCAGTACTGGCTTACTTCACTGAGCATTATATTCTCGAAACTCCATCCTTTACTTGCAAATGCCATGGTTTTATTCTATTTTAATGCTGAGTAATATACCATTGTGTGTATGTGTGTGTGTGTGTGTGTGTATGTGTGTGTGTGTGTGTGTGTGTGTGTGTGTATCAGTATACTACAGGGTCGAAGCCACATCAATGTTTATAGCAGCACAATTCACAATAGCTAAACTGTGGAACCAAGCTAGATGCACTTCAGTAGTTGAATGGATAAAATATGTGGCATACATGCACAATGAAATATTACTCAGCAATAAAAGAGAATAAAATCATGGCATTTGCAGGTAAATGAATGGTGTTACAGAAAATAATGCTAAGTAATTTTAGCCAATCCCCCCAAAACAAATGCTGAATGTTTTCTCTGACATAAACTGAGTGATGTATATTGGAGTAGGGAGGGGAAGCATTGGAGGAATAGAGGATCTCTAGATAGGGCAGAGGGGTGGGAGGGGAAGGGAGGGGGTAGAGAGTTAGCAATGATGGTGGAATGTGATAGACATCATTATGCAAAGTTCATGTATGAAGACATGAATTGGTGTGAACATACATTATATTTAAACAGAGATATGAAAAATTGTGCTCTATATGTGTAATAAGAATTGGAATGCATTGCACTGTCATGTATTTAAAAAATAAAATCAATTAAATATTTAAAAAGTCTCTAAGTAAAAAAAAACCCAATAAAATTACAAATTGAAAATGATTATTCTCCTGTTTCTAAAAAACACCCCAAATTCATATGGTATGCAAAAGAATGAACCCAATTTTTTGATGGAGAAATCATGCTCTAAAATGTTAAGCAATCTTTCTAAGTTCTTACTCCTGGTAAAATATAAGGTGGGGATTCAAATTTCATGTCATCTTATTCTGGCTTGAGCTAAGTCAGCAGGGCATTTTACCTGTCTGGGTAGAATTTACTAAGTTCATTAACTCTCTAGGCTCCAAGTTCATGGAATTTCATGTGTATAAGGCAAAACTGTATTTTATATATGAAGAGTGAAGAGTGCTGATGCCTAGTGGTTCCTCCCGAATAGCATGCGAGAATAATTACTGCATTCTTCATTGTTGGGGTTTAAGTGTGCAGAGTTTAGCTCCCTCAGCCTGACACTTTGCAAAGAGCTGTGGCTGTGATTTAGGTCAGCTAAGGCCAGCTTCAGCTAGGAGGAGAAAAAGTTCTCTTCCCCTTATCACAAGCCACAAG